TTCAACATTGAAAATAAGTCAGCCTATTGTTTTGCATTATCTCTCGGTATAAACAAAACAATGTTAAGGAAATGTTCATTTAATAAGTGGTACGTATTTGAGAAGTAAATAAGTTATTCTAACCATTCATCTAATCAACATTTGCAGATTTGACTGTGAAGCACAGGATAATTCCTCGCTTGGTATGCGAAAGATATATATGTAATTTTTCATGACTTTTACAAATAGGTGGCAAACGGACTCATATGTGAATCAGTTAATTAGTTCTTATTTGAATCACACGAGTTTATATGTGAATCACACCAGGGACGAACCCATAATTTTTTTTTCAAATGGTGGCACCATTTGACTATAAGAAAAAACTATAGGGAAAAAATTTCAAAACAATGGCACCGTTTGACTATAAGAAACAAATATATGAATTTTTTTTTCAATCGGTGTCACCATTTTACTAACAAAATGACACTAACAAGATTCGAACTTGGATTTGGGGTGGAATAAAAGCCTTGCAAACCAATTATATCAAATAAAACTTGTTATCATTATAGTTTCAAAATACATACGGTGGCACACAACAGATTAATACGATTGCACCTTTCACGAACCTAAAATTTTTCACCCTTCGACGGAGGAATAATACGGTGGCACGTGCCACCATAACCACCATGGTAGGTTCGTCCATGAATCACACATGTCTATATGTGAATCACCAATGAAATTCATGGGTATAAGAAGAAGTCCTATCAAATAGAAGGCGATGATAAATAGTTGGTCTGAGATGATGATCAGCCACATTGGGATTAAGTTCACATATGACCCGTCTGCCGTCTATTTGTAAACATTACAAAACAACCACCTCTATTTTTCACATAACTGTAAATTTTGACCAATCAAAACCATAATTATTAACCAATCAAATCTGATTTTTACTTCTCAAATATTTATCAATTCTTAAAAAGCTTATAATAATATTATTATGTTATTAATAATTATTTATGCGTACAAAGGTGTAAAGCATACATCTCCATGTATAAAGGAATAATTTCTGGTAGTGTTGCGTAGGGTAGGCTTCACCATCATCATTACACTATTCTCAATCTCAGCAAAGAGATCGAGAATGAGACAAAAATGATTTTAAAAAATAAAAAAATAAAAATAATAAATCATTCTCATTCAACAATTCAGGATTGACTACCTTTTTACTAAATAAAATTGACATGTGATATATGTTTATTGGTTGGTTTAATTATTTTTTTTAAATAAAATTTATCTAATTAAAAAATGATCTTAACCAAAAAAAATTAAAAATTAAAAAATATGCTAAATTTTGTAGTTTTCAATTTCCTATAGATAATTATAATATTGATATATTTTTATGCTTACTTTTATGACTTGTTTTATTTAATTTCAAGTGTATGATAAGATTTTTATAGTTATAGTTATTTTTTAAAATATTTAATGATTTGTTTAAATTATTTTTTATATTTAAAATTTTTATAAAAAAATATATATGAAAAAAAATTAAAATATATAATTTTTATAAGATGTATTTTAGATTGGATTGAATCACGGTTAAATGGAAAAAAAAGGTGAGATTGGGTTGGAGTTGAAGATTGTGTAGGTGGATGAGAGAGAAAGTAATATTTTAATTGAGATTGAGTTGAAAGGGATAGCGAGTAAACATAACAAAGACGTATCGGACCAAAATAGCAAATATTTTGTAACTGCTCGTTTTCATAACTTGTGAAATGTACCATTTATGAAGTAAATCTGATTATGGTAGGATCGACTTATAAAATGTTCTTTCGGCTTATGAATTCTGCTTACTGGCTTTCGAAATGCTCTGTCAAAATTATATTTTATTCCTAAAAAGAGTTTTTTGCAAATTACACAAATGACCCTTGTGAAATCATATAAGTTTTGTTTCATATGGAAAAAAGGTGGGGTAAAAAAGGGAGCAAATTCATCCAAAATGACTAGTTTGGTCATTTTTCTTTAATTTTTTAGTTGTTGTTAGGTCGTGTATGTAAAATTATATTTTATAAACAGATAATGAAAAATTAATACAGTTTTTCATTAAAAAGGAATCCAAAACTTACTGAGAATGTTGACGTATGACGTAACGTTAATTCCATATTTAGAAAGTGTTTTTTATCTGTTAGTTTATAAAGGTTTAAAGCATAGTAATAAGTTATAAATATTAACTTTTACAGATTTCAATGATATGTAATAAATAACTAGTTGTGTACCCGTGCAATGCGGCGGGAGCCGTGAATTTTAACGATTTTGAAGTTTCACTGGTTTAATTAGAGAAGATTTAACGATAATGTAAGTTAAACTTGGTTTTTACATATTAATACAATTTGAATAAATAAGAGTTATGGTTCCAATTACAGTCTATCGATGAAAAAAACTGTATAACAGTTTAAAATCCAATATATTTAAAATTCAACATATTTAGATGACTCCATAAATGTGTTCAATTTACACTAAGAGCAAAAAATAAGAGATCGAAAGCGAGACCGAGAGTTCTAGAGCAATTGAATAGAGATGAATGAGAGAACTTTTAATAACTCATTGTGAATATCAATTTGAATATCACATTGGGGGAATGGAAGAATACATAGAGGTATGAGAGAGTAAAAACACGAGTGAAAGATGTCAAAAGTATATTGAGAACATGAAAAGAAAAAATGTAATAATGTGCATTAGTAACTTGTACTATGTGTTATTTTAATTGTAGATTAAGAGATTTTAAAACTGAATGTATAAAGTATGCATTAAAAATAAATGTATAATACTTTATGCATTAAAAATTGTTTCTTAAGACTTTTAATAAATCTGATTTATAAGGTAGTATAAATACTTTTTTCGTCCTAAAATAAATGTTCATAATTAAAAATAAGAATATATAATTATTACATTTTTTAATTAATAAAAAAATAATTTTAACGTTAGTTATAAAGAAATTTTCTCCATCCTATTATTAAAGTAAAATAAAAAATAAATATTTTATTTTAATATAAACTAAAATAGTAATTTAAACAGTAAACATTATTTTGAAAATATGATTTTTAGGACACAAAACTACACAAAGAATTCACCGGCTTTCTTAAAAGTTGGGTTTTGCCGTTTGTCCTTTTTTCAAAATAAAATATAATGAGATTTCATTGGTTTTACCAACATTAATCGTATTAATTTATTATATATTATTATATTTATTTTGAAATTACAAAAAGTTTTCATTCGATAGAGTTGGTTAGCATGTCTTTTTTTTTTTCATTCAGATCTGAGTTCGAATCTTGTTAGTATCATTTTTTAGTCAAATGATGTTAAGATTTGATTTTTTCCCCTTATATTTGTTTTTAATGATCTAATAGTGATACCGTCTAAATTTATTTTTTATATTTATTTTTTATAGTTAAATGATATTAATTTTTGAATTTTTTTGGATCGGTCTATGTTTCACAACAATGCTTTTCACATGCTTTATTTGTTTTAATAGTAAATAATGATTACTTAAAAGGACAAATTGCATGAAAAAATAATGTATTTTAACTTGATTTTTATTTTGGGTAACGTACTTTAAAAACTGAATTTTGGTACCCAAGATGTAAAGTTTTAAATATTTAAGTATCCGATTAATCGGTCGAAACATTAACTGGTTATCATATTGATGTGACAAGCGATGTGGTATTTAACTCAGTATTACTTGCTGACGTGGTTAGTGACAGAGGTTTTTTTTAATCTAAAATTAGTTTTCAACCGGTTAGTCGAGTATTTAAATGTTTAAAACTTTACATTTTAGATACCAAAATGAAAGTTTTAAAAATAACATTATTCAAAATAAAAATTAAGTTAAAGTACGTTACTTTTTCATACAATTTACCATACTTAAAATTGTATATAAATCTGTTGTTATTTTAAACTATTAGTATTTAAAATGCGCTATCTATAATTTTTTCAAGTTTTTTTATGAAATACAATCATTTTAATAATAAAAAATAAATAATATTAAGGGGATGGAGGTTTGAAATTTTGTTGGTCAAAGATTGTGAAAGAAAAGTTTGAAATCAATATAAAAGTAAACACACATTTGTCCGCCGAAAATAATTTTAGTAAAAGATGTTGAAATCTTTTAAAGACTAATTATAATTTTTTTTTTTTAATTAACCTGGATATCCAACTTACTATACAAGTTAACTAATTCTAAGACGATCACCTACTTTACAGGTAGTTCGAATTCACTGCATTTGAACCTCTATGGTTATAAAAGAATTTTTATTTATCCTTAGATTTGAACATAAGATATACAGACACTTTTGACCGTTTGAGATCAAACTTAAACCAATCAGACATTATCCTTGTGGGTGTTATGTCATATTTTTAATCGACGCCAAATAAGTGAAAGCATTTTTAACATATAAAAAAAAAATGAAAATTCAAAGTCTGAGATTCATTTTGTGTTCCAAACAGATTATCCAAAACTTCCTTTGAAATGAAGAAAAATATAAGAAAGATTTTAAATTTTTCCATATTTAGAGAACCTTATAGAAATTATTACTTAGAAGACGAAAGTAATTTCTTTTATTATCCTCGTGAACAAGAGTTTTTAAAATTAAATGTTTAAAAAAGATAAAATATTTTATTAAATTTATTGAATATTTTAATAATATAATTGATGTTGTAATCTTCAAAATGGATGGTAGATTTTTATTTTTATTTCTTTATTTTTCAAAGTTTTTAGAGGATCTAGAAATGCTCTAACACTGCATTGTAATCGGAAAAGGTTTTTGTTTACAATGAAAATGGACATTTGTAAAATTTGTACAGTTTTGACTTTTAAAGCGTAAAGAATTGTTAAAGTATCGTTTTTAACTGAAATTCCATATTTTTAAAACCGAAAAGTAAATAATGGTACGATTTGTGTGGGTTATCGTTACTGTCCCAACTAAAAAAACCATTACAAATTCCATATTTTGTTCATGAATACGATAGTTGATCCAAGAGAAACATTTTCGTTGAAAGGATTTTATGCAGCAAAACCGCAAAGAATTTTAAAGATAAACATCAAATATAACATATTTACGACATCTCGTTTGGATTAGGGTATAAAGTTTTTTCTTGGTAACCGCAGGTTTTCAGGCTAGTTTTCGTGCACCAACTGCTCCCTCGAGCAACCACATATGGTCTAGAGTCATGGCTATTGAACCTCCATAGCTGCAACGACTTTGAAAATGAGATTTTTCACTATATCCTCTGTGGTTTAACGGTTCATTACAACCCAAGTAGTAGTAAAGTTATGATTAAAATGCATAACTTCAGGATTTTTCTCATAATACACCGGCTCGAGTCTTGCAAAGTCACTATAGTTTTTCCTTCTGTTTTACAGGTCATCAGAATTAGTCGAGGTGTGTACAAACTGATGCAAAGACCATGTGTTTAGAAAATATCTCAATATGAAGAAGTAAAGTTTCTCAAACGAATAGATTTCTTGATTAGAAAATGTAAATTAAAATTAAATAATTTTTAATTAGATTAATTTACGGATTTGCCCTTACTAAACCAATATTTTCAAGTCCTAATAAACCTCCAATCCATACAAAACGCCGGCGTAGTTTTCCGTCCCAACGTCGACGAAGTACACGTCTCTCATTTTTTGAAACGCGTGCCATGTCAGCAAACTATCTGAACCGGCCTGGTGGCATTTTCCAACAACCCGGTTCACTTCTAAAATACTCGCCACCCGGTCCAACCCGCCGTACAAGTTTTTCCGGCAGAACTTCATCAAATGCTTTACGTCGTACACGTCATCGCCGAAGAACACCTTTAAAGCCTCCAAAAACTCGTGCAAACCACGTGGCAACTCCCGGCGCGTGAGGATCTTCAACAAATAACCGAAATCGTACGCGCTGTGAAACGTCACCCAACTCACTGAGTCATTACAAACCAGACCTGATGACATCATCAACTCAGCAAATCGGACCGAGTCGATACCTTCAATCCGATTCCGATCGAAATCAATCCCTTGCCGTTTCAACAACTCAATCGATTCAGGTGCGTACAGATCACAAGCCAAATCAAAATCATTGAAATTAAACTGCCAGATAAAACGCCGGTGAGTCTCACCGTCACATGGAAGGTTGCCGGAGGCGTCAGTGAGTGTGAGACCGAGCTGGATAAGGTTCAAAACATCGACGTTTGACTTCAAAAGCTTGTAACTATCAGACGGCCGGCGATGCATATACGGTTTCGATGGATCTACAGATTGACTGTATACGACGCCGGGAAATTCCGTATCCATGGAGATGTAAGAGTACTGATCGATGACGGATCTGATCAATTTGAACTCGGATTCTAGGTTTTGGGACCAAACATCACGGATTGTGATGGTTTCGTCAATATGAATCGACATATGGATCGATTTTATCTTCTGAATTTGGTTATTTGATGTTGTTCGATTATTGATTGTGGGATCGGATGAAATTAGATGATGAGATTTATAGAAATATATGAATCGAAGACAGCAGAATCACAACTGTGGTGGTGCTTGGAAGGAGGGAACGCACCATACTCAATTTCAACGCGTTTAGATGCTTTGAAAAAATGGAGTTATTTTGACCAAAATGAGTTCATCAATTTCGCACGAGGTCGAATTCACATTATCCCCAAAATAGGAGTCATGGTCACACTCTACAAGTGTGACAAAAATAAATGATTTTTATAATTTATATTGTATTATAAAATATTTGACAAAAATTCTTAAAAGTTATTTTTTATACATGAAGTATTGTTTATTGATGCTTATTAGTTAAAATTTAATATTACAAGTATATTGTGTATAAATATAGTTTATTAAATCTTTATTTTTGAATTCGTATAACTAACTGTAGATAAACATAATCAAATACCATGATAAACATCTCATTTTAAATATAAAAAATTAAAATATAATTATGATAACCATTGAGTTTTAACGGAATACTTAATTGTCATCCTTACAAAAAATATATTGTTAAATAAAAATAAATTACTTTGTTACTAAATTTAAATTAAATCATAATAAAAAATTACACAAAAAACAAGATATTTTGAGTAATTTAATACTAATGTCGATATATATATATTTTTCGAATTTATATTTCATTCAAAAATAAAAATATTATCGTTTTCTAATACCCACATAAAACTGTATTATATCGACGAAGAAAATGAATAAAATAAAACATTAAAATCGAGATATATTTCGTTGCATTGTGTGTCCTTCTATTATTTATATATAGTGTTAATTTATAGAAGAATTCTTTTGATAACCTCAAGAATTACTCTATAATGTGTTATTCCATATATTTTTTTCTATCTAAAAGTAGTATTTAGAATATTAATTAAGATATATTTGGTTCACGATATTTTTGTTTCACAATGTGAATCTTTTTGTTTTGCTTATGAAAAACAAAAGTTACACATAAAAACATTTTATATTGTAAAACTAAATACATATGAAACAAACACATCGTGAAACAAATATATGTTCATCAATACATTAAATCTTAGTCTTAAATTAAAAAAACATCATGTAAAACAATACGTTAATATAAAAGTTCTCACGGTAATCATAGTATAAGACTCTCAAATGATTAATCATCTTAATTCATACATATTTTCTGTTTTTTACGAGACTCGAAAACGTTGAAATGTAAGAAAATTGGGTTAATAGGTATCATCAACAAAAACCCTTTTGGTGAAATATATAAATATTAATGTATCTAAAAATGTACAGCAAAAACCTCGACAATCCATAATTTTATTGTTGTTACCAAATTGGTTTCAGAACAAATATTTCAACTAAAGCTTAATGTTTTAACAAATATATTTGAACCATTTTTTGGTAATTGGCCCAAGCCGTAGGTCTAACAAACGACGACGGGTACTTCTTCAGTTTATTAACTTCAGAGAGTTATTATATTGGACTAAATTCAAAATAACGTATCAAAACTCAATGTTTAATATGAAGGTTTATGTTCATATTAATAATGTTCGTGTTCATTTTTGAAGTGGATTGATCTCATACATACGATGCCAAGATTTACTTGCTCAATTAAGCGGAATTGCACCATAGAATATCATGAAACAAGAATCTCCATATTGAATGTATACTTTCCGTTCAGTTTTGATAGATTTAATTGTGATTTATTTTATTGTGATTGTCGCACTAATGCATAAATGGGTTTGGGATTGAACATTGGCTCGAGTTCGAGCTAAAAGGGACGAGTTAGTGTGAGGGCCAAACCCAAGACCAGTCCAGAAATAAATGACTAATTAGACCTAGTTTTTGGGAGAAAAACTCAATAAAGATCGTTCCTGATTTGAACAGAATAAAGATTGGTCACATGACCAGGAAAACTCTATTAAACTATAATTTTATATTTTTGGGAAAAGTCTAGAAAAAACCCAACAAACTATCTGATTTTAAATGATTAAGTCATTAAACTATTTTTTTGAATGGTAAAACCCTTAAGCTTTCTAAAATCGGTTAAATACATTATGGTAACCAATAAAAATAGGTTAGTATGATCAAAATTTGGGGAAAATCTAAAAGAACCAACAAACTATCTGATTTTGTATGATTAAACCCCTATCTTTTTAGCAAACTAATCCATAAATTTTTTCCTAAATGTTTTTTTTTACCAAATAAACTTTAACATTTATTAAACAAATAAATCTCAAACGTTTTCTGAATAAACAAAATCATGAACTTAATTTTGAACCAATAAATCCGAAACTTTTTTGAAACAAAATCATGAACAAAAAATATATAAAATTCTCTCATCGACAATAAAATACAATAAACGAATTAAACAGAGAAAAATATATACTATTTCTGTTACTAATTCTGAAACATACAAAAGCTATACCTAAAGCATGAATAGATACATACAAAAATATTTATACATAAAAAAATTAAGTTAATGAACTTAATTATGTTTTTAGCATAATTTTTGTATAATCTGGAATTTTTAATGGAGATGGTATAATTTTTTTCTTTATTTAATTGCTTCACTGTACTTTGTTGTCGATGAGAGACTTTTATATATATTTATATTCATGATTTTGTTCCAAAAAAGTTTCGATTTATTTGTTCAAAATTAAGTTTATGATTTTGTTTTTCAAAAAAGTTTGGGATTTATTTGTTTAAAAAAGGTTCAAATTTTTATTTGGTAAAAACATTTAGAGATTAGTTTGTTAAAAAAATAAGGACTTGATCATCCAAAGTCAGATAGTTTATTGGTTTTTTTAGACTTTTCCCAAATTTTGATCATACTAACTGTTTTTACTAGTCACAATGACGTATTTAAGTGCTTTTAGAAAGTTTAAGGGGGTTGTTTGGTTACCTCTTGATAGTTTTATTAAGAGTCAACATCTGAATCGTTAAAAAGTGAATCTTCTTTGACCAAAAAAAATTATGCCTCTTAATGGTTCAAAAACATCTGAATGGTTTTGTATCATGTGTCTCATTTAACCATTCAATGCCCTAATTTTATTATAAACAATTATCAAACAATTATATTTTATTTTGAACTATATCACGAGAACATCTTAATCATTCTGCACCGAACCATTCAACAACTGCCAAACATCTCATAAGTGTTTTATCATTCAAAAAAATACTTTAGAGACTTAATCATTCAAAATCAGATAGTTTGGTTGGTTTTTTTTTTGTAACCAAGCTTCTTAAAATTTTGATTTTTTTGTCTTGTAAAATGGATAAGGAAACCATATTTATATTTTACAATTACACATATCAAAATTTGAATCAACATATGCTTATAGATTTGGGATCATGTTAGACCAGTCTGTTTTCATAAGGTTACAGATTGTAAAATTAACTTTTACAGTGTTTTTGTTGTGAAGGTTCAGAGTTTTTTTACCTTCACAACGTTTTGTTGTGAAGTTTCAAGTATAAATTTGTGGTCTCACGTGTCTCACGAAAGCAGGCCGGTCTCATGTGAACTCAATCAAAGACTTGGAATCACGTGAGAGCAATCTGTTTTCATGAGACCCGCAAAACCACTTTTTTACAGTTGAAACTTTACAGCAAAAACACTGTGGATGTTATCTTTATAGCGTTTTGCTATGAAGTTTTAATTGTAAAAAATAGTATCACAAGTTTCAAAAAACAAACCGATCTTACATGAATTCAATTCGTATAAGATAACATCAAACTAAAAAGAAAATTAAATTAAAAAAAAAACTAAAATGTGAAATTGAATGGAGAGATCGGTTATTGTGTCAATTTCCTGTAGGGAAACGGAGACTGTACGGAAGAAACCGAGGCATAGAAACGTCCTTTTCAAAGCCTGCAATTATTCCCTCTCTTTTTTCTGGTACTCCTCTGCTTTAATCAGTTCCAACAGTCCATTTCAACATTGTACGATTACACAACAGATTTTCCCTGCTTTTTTCGGTGCTATGATCAGATAATCGGAATAGGAGGACCCCCGTATGATTGTTTGCAGGTACTGTTGCTTTCCAATCAAAATTTGTTTTCAATTCAGATGGTTCTTGTAGTAGAGATATCCATGCTGATTCAAAACCCACCCAATTGAGTTAAATTTTGATTGAAATCGATCAGGTAGAAGGCTGAAAAAGATACGATTTAAAATGAGGGTTTTATTGAAGATATTGGAGTTACTAAGACCACTTGCAGAAAACAAAGCATGGGACTACTGCATTGTTTGGAAGATCGGTGATGATCCTTCAAGGTATTCTTATATGATTGTATTCAATTTGATGAACGCACTCAATGCCATTAATATCAACTGAATGTATCTGGGTTTTCCATTTTGGGGAGGCTTTTTCAGGTGTATTGAGTGGATTGGGTGCTGTTGCAGTGGTAGCCAAGGTGTATGTAAAAATGTCAAAGAGGAAAACGATGAAATCGAGCTTCATATGCCTTATCTTTGCAAAGATACTTATATTAAACATTCCCTAAGAACAAATGCTTGTGAAAAACTTGCCATGATTCCTTCTTACTTGCCATTATATCCTGGGTAATCATCTATGTTTTTAGTTTACCATTCTGTCTTCCAGGGGATCTTCTTTTTAGAACGCTTGAGATTATGATAACTTAGAGAACTGGTGCATGCACTATTTAATATGACTTCTTTTTCATCTAAGATTAGGATTTAGAATATTGATCCACACTATGTTTGTTTCACATGGACTTGGTTCACGATGTGAACATTTTTAGCCTGTTTGTGAAACAAAAGTTACACGTAGAAAAGTTTCACACTGTGACCCGCATACATATGAAACAAACACATTGTGAAACAAATATATGTTCATCAATACATTAAATGTTAGCTTTAGATTAGAAAAAAATCACGTGAAACAATAGTTTAAGATAAAAGTTCTAACGGTTATACCAATTTATGGAGTTATCAAATGACTAAGCCCTCTGTCTTCTGATCATTTGAAAGAAGGCTTTTAATGTCTGAATTTGAAAGCAGGATCCATGGAGAAGTAGCAATGTCTAAACAACCATTTTGGCTAAGTAATGTGAGGATGCTCTCTTTCTCTGTGTGTGTGTTTTGGAGATGGGATTAGTAATTAAACTACTATTAACATGAATTATAATGAATTGTTTGATTTCAAATTAACAGGATTTAACTGGAACTCAACTAGTAGTTCCTGTTAATGGTGGTCTAATCGAGCTATTTAGAACAAAATTTGTAAGTCTCATGTTGCTTTAATGTAAGAACTTCAAGTTCCAGTTGCAAACTTATTGAAGCATTCATATGTGAATATTTAGGTTCCCGCTGATCAAAGTATGATAGAAACCCTTATGGCACAGTTGGGCATTATCGTTGATTATGGGTTCCATGGAAAAGATTCGAAAACTCGTTTGAATCCGTATCCTTACCATCACATTGTTCCTAAACTGGAGCTCCTTTTCCCAGTTCCACAACCCATTTCTATAGACTCCACTCATGTTTCTCAAAATCGATTCATTGATGAATCGAAAAACTCACTGGGATATGGTAATTCAGGGGATGGAAAAGAAATCAGGAAGGTTAATCACAAGATAGGGAAAGAACAGTTCCAATCAAAGAATCTTGTTACTGAAAGAAACCGAAGGAAACGAATGAAGGATGGTCTCTATACTCTACGTGCTTTAGTCCCGAGGATTTCTAAGGTTCATTTATCGGTTTTTTTATCGTTTTGATCAAATTCTTGGTTTATTTGTCTGTCTTAAAGAGTGTAATCTGATTGTTTGAGCAGATGGATAAAGCTGCAATAGTTGGAGATGCAATTGAGTACATAAAAGAGTTGGAAAAGAATGTGAAGGAACTTCAAGATGAGCTTAAGGAACTGGAAGAACAAGATTGCATGATGAACAATTTTGAAGCGGAGGTTTGCAAACCGAAACGAGCATATGAAAGCTCTACTCAAACGTCTCCTAAACCGCATTTTCGTGTTTCAAATGTTGCTGATAAAAAAATATCTGAGGTGCATACTTGTTTTTCCGCGCTTGACATTAGTCCCCGTATAGTCCTTGCATAGATGCACAATGTAACATCTCAGGCCAACTGTACCAGATATTGTTGGTTTTATCCACATGGTAATAAAACGCGCCAGATAGAGGAGCTGGTTTCTTGTAAGGCAACTTTAGTTCCCCTCCCCAACCGATGTGGGATCTTACAATCCACATCCCTTGGGAGCCTAGCGTCCTCGCTTTGGTTCCGGCTCTGATACCGTTTGTAACATCCTAGGCCAATCGTACCAGATAGAAAGATATTATTTTCTTTGTCCACACTTGGACTCACTATTTTAAAACGCTTATAATAAAGGAAGTATCCAGTCCTTTATAAGACAACCTTAGTTTCCCTCCCCAATCATTGTGGATCTTACAACACTAGCCTTTCAAGCCTGTTTTTAGTAAGCAAAAAAGCATGAGCTTTTCGGGTCAGGTTGGGCCTCGACGTGCTTTAACTGGGCTTTGAATTTTTTGGCCTAAGCGACCTTTTATTGGGCCGGGTCTGGCCTTTTCTGTGCATCTCTAGTTGGCCGCTTTTTGCATTTCTCTACCCCTAAGGTTTTGTTCTTTGCTTATGAAGGTGCAAGTGGAAGTACACCAAATTGGTGCTCGAGATTTCTTGCTGAAACTAATTTGCAGTCACAAATCCGATGGCTTTCTGAGGATCTTGGAGATGGTTGATTCGTTGGGACTTGAAGTAATCGATGTTAATGTCACCACTTGTCATAGCCGCGTGTTGAACATTCTCAAAGTGAAGGTAAGATTTAGTCTAGAGATAAGCAAAAAAACAAGTCCTTTCGGTTTGGATTGGGACCGTGACAACCTCTTAGTCTACACACTTCATGCTTGTCTTATTAATGCTGCATTCTAACGGCGATTAATGGTTTGTGAAGGCGAAAGGGAAGGAGGTTTCGGCCAAGAATTTGAAAGACTCGTTGCTTCTCGGTTGGTCGTGTTTGAAAGTTGATCGCGAAAAGAAGCCGTCGATGCGGGCATTATAGACTTAGAATCAGTGATAGCCAAGATTTTGGGATACACTTGGGAATAGAAAACAAGAATACTAACACTAGGAGTTTTGCAGGTTGTTGATGCAATTAAAATGGCGGACATAGATGTAGTGTTGAACGAGTAATTACTCTTATTATTATGCTATCATGAATCTATCTTTTTACTAAAATAAAAACCCACATGACGTCAATTCTCCCGTTACAATATGCGACCTTAAAAGATATTTTAATTGGGCCAATGATATTTAGATTATTAATAATTTGCTCTATATAAATACTAGAATGATACTCGAGTAATACAGCGAGATACATCTTCATTTTAATGTTTTGTTTTATTTTTTGTCTCTATTGATACATTATGATTTATGTGGTCTTGAGAAAATTAATGTTTAATAAAAATAAATTTGAAAAAATATATCGATGTTAATATCAAATTAACTATTTAAAAGTTTTCATTTTTTGTACAATTTATTTAATTTAAGTTTTTATTATAATTTAATTTAGGTCAACTAGTGAAGTTATTTATTTTTGGCTTAACAATAATTTTTTTATAAAGATAACGATTCTGTTAGAACTCAATGATTATCTTAATTATATTTTAAATTTTTTAAATTTAAAATGAGATGTTTTATCTTATATTTGATTATGTTTATCTACAATTAGTTATGTGAATTAAAAAAAATGGAGCTTTAATAAGTTGTATTTACGCATAATTTACTTGTGATTTTAAATTTTAAATAATATGCATTAATACACAGTATTTCATGCATAAATAATGATTTTTAAAAAGTTTTTGTCAAATGCTTTATAATATAGTATGTATTAGAGTAAATTATTATTTTTTGTCGAAATGTTTTGTTAATAAATTTGGTTTTCGTCTTTATGGTTTAGAAATTGTGATTTTCGTTCCTAATATTTACATTTTATTGCTATTTTTATCTCTAAATTAATTCCTAACTTTAAGTATAAGAGTAGAAAATAGTAAATAATTGTAAGCCACAGGGACTAAAACAATAAACAATTATAAATTCTAGGGACTGAAACAACAATGACTTGTAAATAAAAAGAAAAATAATAATGGATTATAAATGATGGGGACAATAACCAAGTTTCTAAATTACAAGGAGAAAATTCATAATTTTTAATAAACTATATGGATGAAAAAAGTAATCTACTTTTAAATATCATTATATTTTATAAAACAAATTATGGGGTTGAAGACAAAATTTAACTTGAGATGGTGAAAAGGATGACCAAGCCAAGTATTATTGAATGATAGAATATATAAAATAACATAGTGGAAAATGATTAAAAATGTCTTTAGTCTAGTGGTATGTGAGTCTTTACTTTCCTAAGAAGTCAAAGTTTAAATCTTATCAAATATGAGGAAAGTGTATAAGTTTAAATGTTGTATTTGTCGTATATAAATATTATATATTAAAAAAAGTATAGTGAATAATGCAATAACACAATATATATATATATATATATATATATATATATATAATACATGGATTCAAATGAACGAAAACAAAACGTTTATTTTTATAAATAATTTATTTGGCTGAAGTCAGAAATAATTGGAAATGTATTTCACTTTTAAAAATAAAAATTTAAAGGTAGTATTTTCGAGTTTTAGTTTTTCATGTAAAATGTGGTGTAATTTGTACCTAAATGTGACTCCATGATAATAGAAACGAAAAAGTAATAATACATAAATCAATAAATTCCAAACGAATAGCTGAGTTCGATAAGACTTTTCTTTATCGAACTCTTGGATTTCAGTAATCTAATCAACTTATTTATAGCACCGACTTAGTCATAGAATACATATGATAAAGTACTGAATATACAAATAATGTTTTACATATAAATTGATTATTAAATATAAATTGATTATTAAATATAAATTAAAAAAATACACACACACACAGATATATATATATATATATATTATATATAAGAACATCTCCTTTGATAAAACAAAAAAAAATCTCAAATGAATTTTTTATATTGACTCTTTAATTATTGTAAGAGCATCCGCAACAGCTTCTTTAAGATAGAAAAAAAATGAGTTTTTGTTCTTTAATACGCTTCAACAGTTTTGCTATTTTGTTTTCTAAAATAAAGAATGATGAAGAAAACTCTAAATATACAGAATTTTCTAAAATTTGTTATGGGAGAGAGAAATGATTATTTTATTTAAATTTAATCAATGAGATTGAGTATGTATGTTAAAATATCTAAAATAGAGAATCCGTCGGAGATTAATGTAATTTTCTTTAAAAAATTTATGTTTTAATTTTCTGTTTTAGAAAAATTCTGGAAAAGTTGTTTTAGATATTCTAAGAAGCCAAATATGAAAAACCCCACTTCAATAGATTTTCTACATTGGCTCTCAATGCTAATTTTTATTATCTCGCGCTACATGTAAAGAGCTCCTTATAAATATATATTTTATTGTATACATATGTACAATTACCACATGTCAACTGTTTATTTTGTTTTAATAAAAGTAAAAAAATATTATTAAACTAAGCGTAGAAAGCGTAATTGTCATACTAATATATTGTATTTAAAAAAACTCTAAGAAACTATTTTTATGTATAAAGTACTGTTTGTTGATGTATATTACTTAACAATCAAGATCACAAGTAAATTGTACGTAAATACAACATACTAAAACTTCATTTTTGAATTCACATAACTAACTATAGATAAACATAATCAAATACGTGATACAGTTTTTATTTTAAATAAAAAAAATATAATTAGAATAATCATTACTTACAATAAAATACTTAATTATTATCTTTATCAAAATATATTATTAAACGATAAATAAATTATTTTGTTATTA